CACGAAACATCTCCACCTCCTTCATCGTAACCCTTTAAATACCCTTAGTTTAACCGCATTTTATCCTCTTGGCTTTCTTCAACCGCGTACTTGTACATCTACAACTAAACGATCGGGAGACAGAATCTGTACTGGCTACGTATATATATACGGGTAAGTGAGGACAAGAAAAGCCTCGAGCTCACTTGACAACCTGCCAATTTGTCGTTGGTGTCTTTGCCAACTTGAGACGCTAATCGAACTATATTCCTATTCGGCGCCCATGAAATATTTATAAAACCCTTTAAATCGATTCAAATGTGCAAGTATCGTCGAAATCTGTAACCCTAACCACTAGACCGTTCGGATGCCCGTGTATCCTTTGGATGAATGGCAAACAAAAGCTCGACATTTTACAAACGAAAGCTTCGGGAGAAAAATCCTCTCAAAGAACCCGAGTGCGCTTGTCGAGAATTTTTCAAAAGAACGGCCGGTCCGCGGAACAACAACGGGGAGATAAATAGAAAAGAGAGTGCGAGAGCTAGCAGAGCGCGCGAAGCGAATTCAGGCTCACAAAGAGCGGGGGCGAGGCAGACTTTGCACAAAAGAATACCTATAAAATTGCGTAAAAAAAAAAAAAAAAAAAAAAAAAAACGCTTCAGCCGATCCCAGTGTTTCTCTTTCTTTGTGTGCACTTTCGTTTCTCTCCTGACTTGTACAGTGTTGTAATTATTTCCTTTCTTTCGTACATACGATGCGATTACAACTGTTTACTAAATAGAAGTGAAATACCGTAGGAGATTTTTTTTTTTCAGAGCTATAAATTTGATTTTCGTACCCTTTTTGTGAAACTCCGCAAGTTGAGGCGAACTTCAGGGTGGACCAAGTAATCAATTTTAAATCAGCTGTAATCGCTAAAACTGCTGGATTCATTTATAAATAATGGACATTAACTTTTTGACCTGAATTGACATTGATTTCGGTGATTACGTTAAGTCTATGAAAGCGTAAAAACAGTCTAGAATAATAAGCCAAGTGAACCGTGGCTTGATGAATATTTAAAACTTTATTTTTAAAACGAGAAATTATTTTTTGTTTTTGAACGACAAAAAACATGTTGCAGTCAGATTACTAACTAAGTACACGTGATTGTATTGAAAAACTCATTCATTATTCTCCAATTACTTTTAATTTTCTATAATTTTTACTTTTCTGATCAAAACTGTGATGAAAAATAATACAATCGTTTAAATCAACTGTAGAATGGATAATGAATCAAATATATTTACGTCCTCTACATGATAAGTTACTACCGTTTTATCTCGATTTTATAAAACAGTATGAGAAATGGCTCGAATATTTCATATAATTTTTAAATTCAAATAATTTTAAAATTTAATATCAGAATTATGCATGAGGAGTTTAAATTAAAGTGGTGGGTGAAATTATCATGCAATTATTTAAAAATCGTTAAAAAAAACTAGTGAAATCCTCAATTTATCTTTCGCGTAAAAATGAAAGACCCCTCGCTTTTGGATTTCTCGTCCATCATCCTGCAATACGTGATTTAAATCGACGTTTGAAAATACGAAGACAAAAATTAATAAAAAATAAACTCGTTATACCCACCGAGTGATTTAAATACATCCCATGCGAATTATTGATAAAAGCAAATCGTCGATTTCAGCTTCAGCTAAATTATTTCGCTTCCCTCGTCGTTCGTCTGTCGGAAACGCGTATAAGTAATAAGCAATGCATTTATCAGCTTAATTTGCGTCCGCGTTCCTCTCGATTTTCCGCATTTATATTCCCATGGCGTCGGTCGCCCATGCAGCTCCGGCGATGCATCGCTTCCATTAAATTTCAATTTCGTATTTTCGGCTCGTCAGAGTCTCGCCAAGGCCATCCGTCAGACGCTCCTCCGTTGAAATTACGCGGATCTTTCCGTCCGCACTTGCCACGATTTCCTAATAATTATTACGCTCCTTTTTTTTTTTTTTTTTTTTTTTTTTTTTTTTTTTTTTTTTTTTTTTTTTT